ATAACCTGTTTACCATGCCCAAGGTTATTTTGATCATCGGATGCCATTGAAGGGACACTAGGATCCATTAGGGTCAGTTGCCAGTTCCAGCAAAGTTTGATCAAGTCAAGTTGGTTTTCTGTAAATTTTCTGATAAAACATCAGACCAGAAGCTGATGACTGCCCTTACAAGACCCTATGTCTCAATCTGAGTGAGTGAGTTAGTGAGTGAGTGAGTGGGTGAGTGGGTGAGTGAGTGAGTGAGTGTTTTGCTTGTTGTTTAACGCCGCACTTGGTAATATTCCATATGATGGCGGTCTGTAAATAATCAAGTCTGGACCAGACAATCCAGTGATTGACGTCATGAGCATCCATCCACATAATTGGTATACAATGACATGCATCAACCAAGTCAGCGAGCCTGATCCCCCGATCCCATTAGCTGCCTCTTACGACAAGCATAGTTGTCCTTTACGGCAAGCATAGTTTGTTGAAGACCAATTCTACCCCGCATCTTCACAGGTTGAGTGAGTCAGTGGGTGGGTGAGTGAGTAAGTGAGTGAGTGAGTGAGTGAGTGAGTGAGTGAGTGAGTGAGTGAGTGAATGTAATCCAGCCATGTCACTGGAGAGGACACCTTGATTACATCCTTTACATTTTATACCAATGGAACCCATATTTGACCCTCTTCAAGTATGTATGTTTGCTAGAACAAAGGTTCCTTCATTCAATCATGCCAACAAGAATGGTTTTGCTTTACCTCACAGCACTAACTGTCTTTTTTTGACATTATCATTATAATCATATGAAGTTCACACAATACACTGTTTTCCACTGGAGGGTGCCACTGTTCCCCTACCAAGGAACTATACCAGCTGAGTGAGTGAGTGAGTGGATGGGCGGGCGGGTGGGTGAGCGAATGAGTGAGTGAGTGTTTAATGGATGGAGGCAAAAGACATGAAAGGAGCCATAATTACGAAACTTGAAAAGAAACAATTTGAAACAAGCTGACATTCTGTGAAAAAACAGAAGTATTTATGATCTATTTATCATGGTCATAACAACCGATAGGAAGTGTTTGTCAACAAAAGACATTAGCTGTTTGCTTGGCACTATTTCAGCCACCACAGCTTGAAGAAGTCTATTATTAGATCCGGCCAGGATAACCTTAGACAGAAAAAAAATAGTAATGAGTACTTAGATGACTTGTGTACAAGTTGTGTGATGACGATTACGAGCTGCAGGGAGTAATGCTAATGTGCTGGTTTCACGGCTGAAAAGATGTTTGAATAGAAATAGAAATTTATTTTGAAGCTCTCATTAGACGATACAATCTCTATGTATGTATCAATATGCAAATTACAAAATGATGTTTTAAGATGATAAACTTGATGAACCGTGAGAGGGTTTCAGCACATGATTTGTTCTCAAGTAATATGGTCTGGGAGTTCCCGCTGCTGGTCATAATGTAACCAGAATGCCTCCGTGGTCTAGTGGTAGAGCGTCCGCCCGGAGAGCGGAAGGTCCAGGGTTCGATCCCCGACCGCGTCATATCAAAAGACATTAAAAGATGTTACTTGTTGTTACCCTGTCTGGCGTTCGGCATTAAGGGGCTAAAACAAGGACTGGTTGGCTCGGAGTCAGTATACTGTGTCTGAGTGGGGTATTCATGTTAAACTGCGGCATGGTATCTCAGTGTGCTAGCACTATAAATCTGCATCAGTCCGGACTAGTACAAGCAGCCACACAAACACACACACGTGCATGCACGTCGCTATATAAGTGCAATAATCTTGGATGCGACGTTAAACCCCATTTCACCTCACCTCACCTCACCTCACCTCACCTCATAATGTAACCAGTGATGGCTCTCCAGGGTGATTTGTTGTAATGTCGGAGGCTGCACATCTAAACGTGATGTAGAAAAGGATCAGAGTAGGTACTGCAATAACGTAGCATATGTTCCGAGGATGAGGATGAACATTGTTCACACAAGGGGAGATAACTCACTGATAAGTGGCAGTGGAGAGGTGAGCGGGAGATTATGTTGAAATTGTATTTATTTGTTTGTAATTGGCAATATTCCAGCTACATGATGGTGCTATAAAGTACTGAGCCTGGACCAGACATCCCAGTGATTGATATTATGAGCACTGATTCATGTCGCTGGAGTATGATGACATACATCAACCAGGTCACTGACTCTGACCACTGATCCATTTGGATGCCGCTTACGGCCAGCATGGGTTGCTGGGGACCTATTCTAACCTGGAATCCCGCAGGGCCTTTATGTTTGAAGCATGCTGGGATTGTTTAGGTTAATAATTATGTTATGGATGTAAAGTATCGCGACTGAGAACCAAAGTAAGACAGAGGGCCGATAGGCCAATAAGCCAGAGGTCTTACCTGAGGTCGTGAACCGACTTATAAACCGACATCATCTCAGATTAATACACTCATTAATCAAATATGCAAATTAATTGATATACATGGTAAGATTTTCATAAATTATCATAAAAACTTATTATCTTACCCTTGTGTGTTTCCAGATCATATTGTATGTTAGGAATACAAATTGTATTACAGTATTCCCTCGTTATTGCACCCTTCAATATAACGCTAACTCAGTTATAGCGCGTGGTAAAGCATGGCTCCCAAAATTTACAAACATTTTCAATAAACTCAAGTTTTCCAATGACACGATGTTTTCCCCCATCTCAGAAAACATTATCAGCTGATCACTGCGATCACGTAACACTGGAAATACCAGTCAACAAATCCGAACTGAAGTAGGCAATTTAATCCTATTATTATAATATCTGGTAATACTGGTAATAAAAAAAATGTTCATTGTTTATCTGGGCTAATGTTTGCAATTTATTATTTTAATTATATTGAAAATTTCATTCAATAATTATAATAATGTTTACAATAATTTCGGCGAAATCGTATGCGAAGTGATCGGTAGATCACACAACTCACCGTTATTAACAGCAACCACGGTCAGATTACCGCTTTTGACGCCTTGAAACGAACTTTAGTTGCAAGAGAATGGATACACATATCATAAATGCCGCACCATGCCTCGCTAAAAGTCATATTTGAGGCAGTTTGACAATTAAATGTCAACATAACGTTTCCGCAATCGAAATACATGTAGCGCGGGAAGTCCCTACGTATTATATGTATGTGATCCTTTGGTGACAACAATGACTTATTTATATTCCTTATATTCATTCATATTTTATTTACGACAAGGGAGTGAGAGTGATAATCCCTTTACCACATGATATAATTTTTAAAACAATCAATTGTTTAGTACATAATTTCACTCGCTGAAAGTATACAGTTAACGACTGAACCACCCTGTTTCTGAATGAGGGCCAAGTGAGTGAGTGAGTGAGTTGGGTTTAACGCCGCTTTTAACAGTATTCCAGTTATATCACGGCGTGTCAGCTTAATGTGGGAGGAAAGCCCGAAATGATGCAGGTCTCAGACGTTTACCACTTCGGTGAAACCCACGAGCACGGGTATGGTGCTGACAAACCTAGAAACATAACTGGGGCGAACTGGGATTCGAAGCCACAATCATAGGTTTCTGGCGCGCCCAAGGGACACAACTCTGCACAGCGAATCGCAGCGCCTTAGATGACTGAGCCACCCGTGCCCCCGTGATTCACAGCCATGCTGGTTGACAGAAACAAGCACACACATCAGAAACTGCCTGATTAATTAAACTTATTGGGGACTTTGAGCAATAGTGTTTGGAGCAAGTGGGCATTACAGCGAGGCATGGAGCTTTCAAGAGTAGTTCCTGCTAGGTGACACCATTTGTGTGTTTATCAGAACGTGATTGGACTAGTTTCTCGTATTGTTATCGAAATCCATTAAATGATAAAATGGGAAAAGTCATATCATTGTCAAAAGTCTGTGATTTTATGTTTTCTTCTACTGTCTGTCTATTGTCTATGATGTCTACTGACCAACTAGACCCATGAAGATCCGATTGAGAATTGGTCTCTAGCAACCCATGCTATGGAGGTGGTTAATTGGATCGGGTGGTCAGACTCGTATCCCATTTCTGTACATCAATGCTCATGATATCGATAACTGGATTGTCATATAGGTGGTATATTGTTGAGTGCGGCACTAAACAACAAACAAACTGACTGTCTGTTTGATCTTTTGTCTATTGTCTGTCTATGGTGTCTCATTACTCTTTGTGGTATCGTGTCTACTGACTGTCTACTGACTGTTTACTGTGTCATCTGTCTTGATGTCTACTGACTGTCTACTGTGTCATCTGTCTTGATGTCTACTGTGTCATCTGTCTTGATGTCTACTGACTGTCTACTGTGTATCATCTGTCTATGATGTCTACTGTGTGTCGTCTGTCTATGATGTCTATTGTGTCCTCTGTCTTGATGTCTACTGACTGTCTACTGTGTATCATCTGTCTATGATGTCTACTGTGTCATCTGTCTTGATGTCTACTGTGTCATCTGGCTTGATATCTACTGACTGTCTACTGTGTGTCGTCTGTCTATGATGACTACTGTGTCAATTGTGTTGATGTCTACTGACTGTCTACTGTGTGTCATCTGTCTATGATGTCTACTGTGTCATCTGTCTTGATGTCTACTGTCTACTGTGTGTGTCGTCTGTCTATGATGTCTACTGTGTCCTCTGTCTTGATGTCTACTGACTGTCTACTGTGTATCATCTGTCTATGATGCCTGTCTATGATGTCTACTGTGTCATCTGTCTTGATGTCTATTGACTGTCCAAGCTATTATGTCTACTGTGTCATCTGTGTATGATGTCTACTGTGTCATCTATCTGTGATGACTAATGACTGTCTAATCTGTATGTGATTTCTGCTGACTTTCTGTATGGTCTATTGTCTACTAACTGTCTACTGTGTGTTGTCTGTCTATTATGTCTACTGTATCATCTGTCTATGATGGCTATGTACTTTCTGTATGGTCTATTGTCTACTGACTGTCTACTGTCTATTCCCCAGGCCCAGGAGTTCTGTAATGGGAAGACTCTGTGGTGTGACAAGGGCCACTGCTGCGGCAAGGGGAAGTGTTGTGCCTACTACTACGAACTCTGGTGTGAGTACTGCAGCAACCAGTACAGGGCCCTTCTTTTTACAAATAGTACCCTCGCTTTACAGTATTCTGTTGTAACAAATGCTACAGGGCCCTAGCTTTACAGTATTCTGTTGTAACAAATAGTACAGGGCCCCTCGCTTTACAGTATTCTGTTGTAACAAATAGTACAGGGCCCTAGCTTTACAGTATTCTGTTGTAACAAATAGTACAGGGCCCTAGCTTTACAGTATTCTGTTGTAACAAACAGTACAGGGCCCTAGCTTTACAGTATTCTGTTGTAACAAATAGTACAGGGCCCTAGCTTTACAGTATTCTGTTGTAACAAACAGTACAGGCCCCTAGCTTTACAGTATTCTGTTGTAACAAATAGTACAGGGCCCTAGCTTTACAGTATTCTGTTGTAACAAACAGTACAGGGCCCTAGCTTTACAGTATTCTGTTGTAACAAATAGTACAGGGCCCTCGCTTTACAGTATTCTGTTGTAACAAATAGTACAGGGCCCTAGCTTTACAGTATTCTGTTGTAACAAATAGTACAGGGCCCTAGCTTTACAGTATTCTGTTGTAACAAATAGTACAGGCCCCTAGCTTTACAGTATTCTGATGTAACAAATAGTACAGGGCCCTAGCTTTACAGTATTCTGTTGTAACAAATAGTACAGGGCCCTAGCTTTACAGTATTCTGTTGTAACAAATAGTACAGGGCCCTAGCTTTACAGTATTCTGTTGTAACAAATAGTACAGGCCCCTAGCTTAACAGTATTCTGTTGTAACAAATAGTACAGGGCCCTGGCTTTACAGTATTCTGTTGTAACAAATAGTACAGGCCCCTCGCTTGGCAGTATTCTGTTGTTATTTCTTAAAATATGACAAACCATGTTGTATTTATAATTCGTGTTGGCTGATGAATTAAGTTCCTTTTACCATGGTTACGGGGAGGTGTTATTTAGGTTCTTTGAAAAATTGTCTGTTTTTCTATCTTCATCCATATGCCATGTTCATGTGCCATGCCATGTTATACCCTAGTGAATGTTGGAAGCTTATATGTTTTGGTTCTTGACACTAGCTTTTTCTCTATTACTTTCAGGGTTTTGGTTGATATGGGCGTTGATAATCCTTCTGAGCTGCTGTTGTTTATATCAACAAAAACGATTCCGTCGACGTCAGTCTCCCTCACGACGGGGGAATCGAGGGAGACCACGAAACAGGTCAAGGATAGCACAGGCACTAGATGCTGCTTTCATTACACCTATTTTTGATCCAGGTAAGCTATTAATTCTCTTTCATACATATATAAATCTGAAAGTGACTTTGTTCGAAATCAACCAAGGTATTAATTAATTTTCTTTCATCCATATATGAAGGTGATTTGTTTGTAATGTGCCTCTGTTCACCCAGCAGTTAATGGGTACCCAGTAGGATGAGATTGTAATGTGGCTGTTAAACTTCAGCTTGGGTTGTATACTCCCCAGGGAGCTGAGAATAAACATCAAGTGCACACTGATTCATCATCAACCAGGGTATCAATTAATTCTCTTTCATCCATAATCGTGATATGGCTGCAATATTGCTGATGCGATGTAAAATTTTAACTCACTCACTCACTTTCATCCATATATGAAAGTGACTTTGTTCGAGATGTACCATAGTTCACCCAGCAGTGACTGGGTACCCAGTAGGATGGGGACGTCATGTGGCTGTTAAACTTCAGCTTTGGTTGTTTACTCCCCAGGGAGCTGAAAATAAAAATCAAGCACGGGCTAATTCATCGATCGTGGTATTAATTTTGCGTTTGAGCACATTTTAGGACGACGATTTGGTGCATTATATTCTTTCTATTGCATCTTGGTCTGTGATCATTGGTTTGAATCCTGGTTCGCCCCGATTATGTTTTTATGGTTTGTCAGCACCATACCCGTGCTCGTGGGTTTCACCGGAGTGGTAAATGTCTGAGACCAGCATCACTTTGGGCTTTCCTCCCACTTAAAACTGACAAGCTGTGATATAACTCTAATACTGTTCAAAGTGGGGTGAAAACCAACTCACTCACTCCTTTAGAAATACAAGAGGAGATCTCAGAGTGAGTGAGTTGTGTTTACTGCTGCTTTGAACATTTCAGTTATATCATGGTGTGTCACAGTTTAAAGTGGGAGGGAAGCGATATAGGTCTTTGATGTTTACCACTTTGGTGAAACCATAGCTGTCAACCCCTGGATGTCTAAATGTGTGAGAAGCAAAGGTGCAGGCCGAAAACTGGTTTTGAGTGATTTTAAGACCATTTTAATGGCCTTTGACAGCATGTATTCTGAAAAATTATATTTTTATCTACATTTTATATGAATGCGTGAGAATTTCCCAACTTGCGTGTGAGCGTGACATAGGTGATAAATGCGTGAGACTCACGCGAGATGCGTGAGAGTTGACAGGTATGTGAAACCCACGCATTGGTGGTGACAAACCTAGAAACATAATCAGGGCAAACCTGGGATTGGGAGCCAGTGATTATAGGCCAGCATGGCTTATTGTGGTGCTGGCTATTGGACCACCCATGTCTTAACTTTGTGTGTCGTCATAAATTGTGTTCATGGTTTCCCAGATCGGGTGAGGCTCCCAACATATGATGAGGCGAAAGAGATGCCTAAAGACCCTCCTCCTTATAACTCGCTCTATGAAACGAGACTGCCAGAGACATCTGTTAGCGGACAACAACCTTCTCATAATACATCACCTTCACTTCCTGTCTTGAGAACTATCAATGATGCGTAAGTTTCTGAAACTGAATAATTTATAATTATGACATATTACACAATAAGTTCTGATGGTGGAATGTCGGGTCAGATCTGTGAATGTCTTCAGCAACCCATGCTTGCCATAAAAGGCAACTATGCTTGTCGTACGATGCAACTAACAGGATCAGGTGGTCAGGCTCGGTGACTTGGTTGATGCATATCATTGCATCCCAAATGCGTGGACAGATGCTCATGATGTCAATCACTGGATTGTCTGGTCCAGAGTCGATCATTTATAGAGTGCCGTAAAAAAGCTGGAATATTACTGAGTGCAGTGTTAATCAACAAACAAACAAACTAATGGTGGAATGTAGATATGTATAGTTCCTGTGGTTGTAAGTATTGAAATTATGTTCCACCTTGACATCTTTGCATTTTGTTGTCTTTCAGACCACAAGCCAGTCTGATTGATAACGAGGAAGAGGCAGCTGTGACTGTTGATATTGACCGGTGGACGGACCCCCCACCCCCCTACACCACCCAGGCCACACCTGTACCATCCGTCCACATCCCCATCCCCTCCTCATTGCCCCTCCCTAACCCAGTGCCCCCCGACACCACCTCTCCCTCCCCGTCACATGTCCCATGTCCAGCACCTCATAGTCCCACTGCAAGTTTACAACCTGCTACCCCCAGTCCAGATGGTAGTGCCACACCCACCTCTTCTGCACCCAACTCCACAAACACAGTCCCCACCCACACATCCTTAGTTTCCACCCCTACAAATAACTTCCCCTCCCCGACATCTTCTGTCCCCCACCCCACATCTTCTTCACCAGCGAACTCTTTTCCTTCCTCTTCCCCAACCCACCCACGTTCTATCCCCACCCATCCCGACTCTGCTCAATCCTGAGACTGACCAAGTGGCCAAGCTGTCCTTGTTTCACCCTATACAGGAAACAAAAGCAAACGATGTCCAGTGCTACTGAGGTTTACTCAGTTGAAAAACTCTATGCAACAACATGTTATTTACAAAGTGGCCCTCACCATGTGGGTTGCAACGTTGTTGAAGGAGGGACAGAGCATATTTGTAAAGATGTGCAGAACTGGATGTATTGTCCAAATTGGATAGCATAAGGTGATTGAACTGTATGCCACAAAACATTGCCATCGAATCTGTGATACAAACCATCCTGCCTTATGTTGTGTAAGGGAGATAGCTCTAGTATCAACCTGCCTTATATTGTGTAAGGGAGATAACTCTAGTAACCAATCTGCCTTATTTTGTGTAAGGGAGATAACTCTAGTAACCAATCTGCCTTATTTTTGTGTAAGGGAGATAACTCTAGTAACCAACCTGCCTTATTTTGTGTAAGGGAGATAACTCTAGCATTGTGGCTTCCTGTGTGGCTGGCAAGATATTGAGATAAGCCAGAGAATAGAGACAACTCTATTGTTATTAGTCTTGACAGAGTAATCTAGATAGTATGATGTGTTGTGAATGAACAATGATTGTTAGATATTTATAAAGTAGCCTCCATGTGGGATTTTCAAGATTTTCTTTACAACTATTCTTGAACTAAATGAAATTATTCCGCTGGAATAATTAATATTTTGAACATGAGTGCATATCAGCCATTTTAGTTGACCTGAAATTTTATCCAATATCCCATAATCTAAAGGAAATCAAAGGGTTCTTCCACAAGTAATTTGTTTAACAACTTTGAATTTTAATAATAACTACATCTTGTAAAATATCAATACATGTATATGAAAGTGCTGTGATGTATTTAGGGAAGTAGTATACAATAGGTTGTCAGGGTATGTTAGTAAGCGGGACTTGCTGCATGTATTTATCTGTATGTAAAATGGTGCATTTTTCAACCTTTGATCTCTCTGTGACCCCAGACTATAATATTTCCCAGGGTGCCTTACTGCTCGATCCTTTTCCATCAATCTCTTTTATCGATTGTTTTCTAAAGTGCTCAGAAATTAAGTTTTTATAAGATATGTGTTGTCTGTAACAATCTGTTGTTGATAAGTGTTTTTCATGGTTTTATTTGTTTACATACATCAACGACAGGGGGTGCTGCTTTAAGCTTAGATATAAACACTGTATTAGCCTTAGCAACTGTGGGGAACCTACTCGTAAGTGACAACTTCACATAACAACAAGAATCATTAGTTACCTGGCCATCTGAGAAGATCCAGGGTAGAGTAGGTGTTCAGCAATCCGTGCCTGCCTTGAGAGATGACTAATGGGATCTGGAGGCAGACTCAATGACTTGGTTGATGCATGTCATCGCATCCCCATTGAATGGATTGATGTTCATGATGCCAGTCACTGGATTGTCTGGTCCTGGTTACAGAACGCTGTCATATAGCTTGAGCGCAGTGTTAAACAATGAACAAACAAACAAACAAGTTACCTGGGATACACAAGGTTTTTCTTTGCAACTAATTAGCAACCTTTGATTCACTTTATCACCTTTGTTGGCTACCCTTGGAATTACAAATTTCCCTTTGACGCCTGAGATCTATTCAGTCACTTGTGGTACCCTCAGCAAGCCATGTTTACCATCAATATTCATATGTCCATATTTTTTTGGTAATGGATAAAATTTGTTAATTTGTTAGTTGAATGATTTTGATTACTAGGTGATATTTGAGAAATAATGCCAGTAATGGATGACCAGAACATGATTATTGTTTGTTTTGCTTACATTATGAAATAATTCTATCTCCTGTTTATCATGTATGGTGCTATGTTGTTTGTAGAAGCTCTGCAAAGATTCATGCATAAACTCTTTACCTACATATTTGTTGTGGCTCCCCAGCAATTATACTGGTCATAAAAGACCTGGTTGATGCATGTCATCAGGTCCCAATAGCATGGATCGATGCTCATGATGTCAATCACTGGATTGTCTGGTCCAGATCGATTATTTACAGATCACCATCATATAGATGGAATATTGCTGAGAGCGGCGTTAGACAACAAACAGAACCTATGATTTGTTTGATGTTATAACTGTTGTACTGATTGTTGAGTATCAGGGAGTAGAATCTTTCTGTGCTGATTTTACCTTGTCTGGCGAGGTCAACTTCTTTGGTGACTAGGACCAGATGACTTGGTCTGTGGTTTGAATCCCGGCATGCAGCATGGATACTTTGCGGCTGATATATTGGCACTGAACATTGCTCTGAGCGTGTACATCAAGGGGGGGGTCCAACATTTTTAAAAGGGAGGGGTCCAATTACAAAATCCTCTCTCAGTTGGTTTTCAAAAGTGGGGGGTCCGGCCCTCCTGGACCCTCTGGATCCGCCTATGTACATGTTGACCATGTTCGAGGAACATGTGCATATGCTACTGAACATGGAGTGAGTGAGTGAGTATGGTTTTATGTCCCTTTCAACAATATTCCAGCAATATCACGCGGGGACACCAGGTGTCATACATTGTATCCATTAGGGGAATTGAACCCAGGTCTTCGGCGTAACAAGTGAAAGCTTTTCCACTAGGCTCCCCCACCTCCCCTACCATACGATGGTGTTGATTGGGAAGAGGCCATGCATTTTGTTGTGCAGAGTTGTGTCCCTGCCATGCCAAGATGCGATGATTGTGTTTGAATCCCGTGTTTGCTCTGATCTTGATTCCTGGCACGTCAGCACCTCGTCCCTGATCTTTTGTAGTCCAAGATCTACTCTTTGACACGCTGAGATACAATTGAAATACTATTCTAATCAGTGTAAGCCCCAACCCACTCACGACTCATTAGCTAAACCTCATTGACCATGGACGCTGTATCACCAGGGTCAGAATCCAAGTCAATAAATTCAGTAACAAATGTTTTCAAAGACCTTGGATCTGCTGTCTTCAGATGTGTGTTGATCTGATGTCTGCAGATGTGTGTCGATCTGTCTGCAGATGTGTGTTGATCTGCTATCTGCCGATGTGTGTTAATCTGCTATCTGCAGATGTGTGTTGATCTGCTGTCTGCAGATGAGTGTCGATCTGTCTGCAGATGTGTGTCGATCTGCTGTCTGCAGATGTGTGTTGATCTGCAGTCCGCAAATGTGTTGCTTCAATCAAAACAGAAGAGCTGACATCAAAAGGGGTGGGAGGGGTGTTGTTGTGCTAAAACAACAAACTGTTTTCTTATTTGTCATCACCTATTTCTTTCCGAAATTTTTTTTCAGGGTGCTTATTTTATTGCTACATTTAACAAAGGGTATGCTTTTAGTGAAAAATCCCCTTCAGCAAGGTTTTAAAAACAAAGCTAACACAGAAAACCTTAGTAATAATCACAGTCTTGACAACTCAGAGAAATTTAGATAAATTTGAGATAATTTGTTGTCATTTAAAGAGTTAAAATGCATCTGCGGTCTTTTGACACACTGATGAACAAGTGGTGCTGAAGGCTTGTATATTCCAGTCTTTATATTCTCCTGGACAGACACATTTGTCAAACCTGTATTACATGCCATGTCTTCCCAAACTACAAGAATTGCATATTAAGACGAGGCTAGGACAGAGAGTAGTGAAACGTGTAATTCGCTGTATAACATGGGCTAGGACAGAGACAGAGTAGGGAAACGTGAGATACATTGTATAACATTGGCTGGGACAGAGATAGAGTAGGGAAACGTGGGATACTATGTATAACGTGGGCTAGGACAGATAGAGTAGTGAAACATGGGATACAATGTATAACATGGGCTAGGACAGAGATAGAGTAGTGAAACGTGGGATACGATATATAACATGGGCAAGGACAGATAGAGTAGTGAAACGTGGGATACAATGTATAACATGGGCTAGGACAGAAACAGAGTAGTGAAACGTGGGATATGATATATAACATGGGCAAGGACAGAGATAGGGTAGGGAAATGTGGGATACAATGTATAACGTGGGCTAGGACAGAGATAGAGTAGTGAAACGTGGGATATGATATATAACATGGGCAAGGACAGAGATAGGGTAGGGAAAGGTGGGATACAATGTATAACGTGGGCTAGGACAGAGATAGAGTAGTGAAACGTGGGATATGATATATAACATGGGCAAGGACAGAGATATAGTAGTGAAATGTGGGATACATTGTATAATATGGGCTAGGACAGAGATAGAGTAGTGAAACGTGGGATATGATATATAACATGGGCAAGGACAGAGATAGGGTAGGGAAATGTGGGATACAATGTATAACGTGGGCTAGGACAGAGATAGAGTAGTGAAACGTGGGATATGATATATAACATGGGCAAGGACAGAGATATAGTAGTGAAATGTGGGATACATTGTATAATATGGGCTAGGACAGAGATAGAGTAGTGAAACGTGGGATATGATATATAACATGGGCAAGGACAGAGATAGGGTAGGGAAATGTGGGATACAATGTATAACGTGGGCTAGGACAGAGATAGAGTAGTGAAACGTGGGATATGATATATAACATGGGCAAGGACAGAGATATAGTAGTGAAATGTGGGATACAATGTATAACGTGGGCTAGGACAGAGATAGAGTAGTGAAACGTGGGATATGATATATAACATGGGCAAGGACAGATATATAGTAGTGAAATGTGGGATACATTGTATAATATGGGCTAGGACAGAGATAGAGTAGTGAAACGTGGGATATGATATATAACATGGGCAAGGACAGAGATAGGGTAGGGAAATGTGGGATACAATGTATAACGTGGGCTAGGACAGAGATAGAGTAGTGAAACGTGGGATATGATATATAACATGGGCAAGGACAGAGATATAGTAGTGAAATGTGGGATACATTGTATAATATGGGCTAGGACAGAGATAGAGTAGTGAAACGTGGGATATGATATATAACATGGGCAAGGACAGAGATAGGGTAGGGAAATGTGGGATACAATGTATAACGTGGGCTAGGACAGAGATAGAGTAGTGAAACGTGGGATATGATATATAACATGGGCAAGGACAGAGATATAGTAGTGAAATGTGGGATACATTGTATAATATGGGCTAGGACAGAGATAGAGTAGTGAAATGTGGGATATGATATATAACATGGGCAAGGACAGAGATAGGGTAGGGAAATGTGGGATACAATGTATAACGTGGGCTAGGACAGAGATAGAGTAGTGAAACGTGGGATATGATATATAACATGGGCAAGGACAGAGATAGGGTAGGGAAATGTGGGATACAATGTATAACGTGGGCTAGGACAGAGATAGAGTAGTGAAACGTGGGATATGATATATAACATGGGCAAGGACAGAGATGTAGTAGTGAAATGTGGGATACATTGTATAATATGGGCTAGGACAGAGATAGAGTAGTGAAACGTGGGATATGATATATAACATGGGCAAGGACAGAGATAGGGTAGGGAAATGTGGGATACAATGTATAACGTGGGCTAGGACAGAGATAGAGTAGTGAAACGTGGGATATGATATATAACATGGACTAGGACAGAGATATAGTAGTGAAATGTGGGATACATTGTATAATATGGGCTAGGACAGAGATAGAGTAGTGAAATGTGGGATATGATGTAAAACGTGGGCTACGACAGAGACAGTAGGGAAACATGGGATACGATGTATAACATGAGGCAATACCAGACTGTGTGGTAGCTGAGGAATTGTAGCACTGGAGACTATTGACTTACTAGTACTAGCAACCAATAAATGTTGGATAGTCAAAGCAAAGCAGTACATACTGGAAATTTGTGAATAAATGTCGTCCTTGAATAAAAGCGGAAGTAATTACCTGCCACCATTAAGGAATAAAGTTTTAGAACCTAAAACTTTGTACATTTTCACGTAGAACTGGCAACACATAGGAACCATTTGAATCAATATTTCACAAAATGATTGATGCCCAAATGCCAATCACGACAAAATACTGGTTATTGCCTGGTTCAAATAAACAGCTACTGGATGTGTTTGGGGTAGATTGGGGTTAGGGAGGTGGGGTTGGTTGGGGTTTGGGGTTGGTTGTAGTAGGGTGTTACGGGTAGGGTTTGGGTTGGGTGAGTGTTTGGGGTGGGTTAGAAACCAAAATATTTCATTTTTCAATTTTATTGGACTTATGGCAAGACTATTCGATGGCTGACAGGAAGTAGTGGTGGTTCTAACCCGGTCCGCAAACTGTTTGCTCTGTAAAGTATTTATATTATGTGTCACTGTTTCTGAGATCAGACTTGAACAAATAGCAAACTATTTCACTTTGTAACAGGTGCTCTTCCATTGTGAGGTTTCTGTTTTCTTACAACTCCTGATGTTAAATGGCATGTTGTGAAAATCATGAACATTTAGTAACTTGAATTATTTGCCAGGACTGCAGTTATGACTAAAGACACGTGCACATACAAGTGTGAGAGATTGAGAGGTGCCTGGCTGGCTTCCTATAGATGTTGTCCCCTTCTGGCCTTCAGTGGAACCATATTTACTACTCAGTGCATGCACTCATATCCAGGGCCATGCTCTTCCTTATATCTGTTGTACAGTTTTATACCTCATATTATTAATAAAAAAATTACGTCATTAGCTGCTGGTTTGTGTTGTTGATTGTTCCAGGTGCCCTTCGTGTATGAACGTCACTAGTGAGTGAGTGAGTGAGTTGGGTTTAACACCGCTTTTAACAGTATTACAGTTATATCATGGCGTGTCAGCTTAATGTGGGAGGAAAGCCCGAAGTGATGCAGGTCTCAGACGTTTACCACTTCTGTGAAACCCACCAGCACGGGTATGGTGCTGACAAACCTTGAAACATAATTGGGGCGAACCGGGATTCGAACCCACACTCATAGG